ATATATATATAATTTTCATTTCAAAAAATTTCTATACTAAAACATTATTTTAAAAAACAATAAAACAATTATCACAAACGAGAGAGATTATTCGGTGCGGAGATCGAACGCAGAATGCTGTCAAGAGATCAACCAGAATGCGCAACGTCAGGGGTACGGAGCTCCGATAACGAGCTACAGTACTGAGCAAATGGTGATATGGTTTATTCTGATTAGTCTCAGAACGACGTTCAACATCCACACAGAATAATTAAAGAAGCCTAAGCTAACAAAATTCATAGTTTAAGAAGCTTGAAAAATAATAATGCATAAGGTAATAATCAGACTAATTTCCATTTGGGGGTATGCATGGCTTCTCATAAAGTAATAATCATACTAATTTAACAAAATTCATACTTTAAGAATCTTAAAGGTAAATAATGATCAATGGTATGCATGGCTTCTCATCTGGGGATTTTAGGCATAGTTTTCACTGTTTTGTGCACCAAATCACACAATTAAGTTATCAATTAGTGTACAACAATAAATTAAGTGAATATTTTCTATATATTGTGACAATAAATAGTGCCAACACATACTATATTTCCCTTTCAATTAGTTGAGCTCACCAAAATTCCTCCAGGCTTCAATTGAAGGAAAACCACAAGGTGATAATATGCAAGCAATTTCGTCGATCAAAATAATTTTTAGCTCAGCTTCATCTGTGCAAACTTCTCTGCAACACCTATGGCCTCAACAGCATGAGTTGCATCATTTCCCTGTCATTTAAGCAGGTTTTTCCCACAGTTATTAGCTGTGCTAAGGAAAATGTCAGTTCATATATAACTACTAACCTGGCCCTGAGCAATGCCATTCTTCCCTCCACCACCCTTTCCACTGATAGGTTTCATTGCAGCGGTTAGCCACTCCAACGCTGCCAGACCTTTCAATGAAGGGTTGTTAGGGACTCCAGCACACACTACAGCTTTGTTCAAATTTTCATCAGTGCTGAATACCATCACTGCCAATCCCTGAGTGAAAACAAAGGAAGATAATAAGTTTTTTTTGTTTTTGTTTTATGTAGTGAAATTCAAAATTTATATGGTGGCTAATATAAATGATTCCAGCATGAAAGTGGTACCAAATAAGGGTTCAAGGCCTAAGGTATGCGATGTGTTTAAAAAAAGAAAAAGGGAATGCGGTGTGTTTGGGCTTTTGGCTTATATATCCTTTCTACTGAAAGAAAGCTCAAACCACTTGTATAGAAAACTAGGGAGGAATGTGAATCTATC